ACTCGAATAAAATGTTCAATTAAAAAGAATTCATTTCTCGTGTTAAAATGTCACTCGAATAAAATGTTTAATTAAAAAGAATTCATTTCTCGTGTTAAAAGAATTCATTTCTTCTCACGAAAAAGCGGAATTTGTTTTTCTGTATTTTCCAGTAGACCGTAAAAGTATACACGCTATAACTTTTAAACGTGTTAAATCCACCATCGGCAAAAGTGTTCTTAATCGAAAATTATGATTTAAAAAAGTAACGGGTCACGTATTAGGCAGCTGTACGTGTTTGAAAGTATCCGATACCAAGAACCTCCGAAAAATTTCCGAAGTTCCTCGAGTCTTTTGCATCGTGATCTAAAGTTGCGGGAACTAAAAGAAGGAAGTAAAAGTAGTCGCCGATTTAGTATATCACAGGAAACGAAGGGTGTAACTAAGGAGTTGAAGTTTTCTGGGCTACGGTCCTGCAACTTCTTACATTATATTAAAAAGCTTGCGAAGACTTTTAACTGTTATCCTGGAAAAATGATTCTAGACCGCCGCTGCATAATCCCCGTTCTCTATTTTTACGGGCAACTATAAAATCAATGAGCTAATACGTTGAGAAGTTCACGACGGTAGATATCACTTTATACGGGGGACCAAGGAATTGTTGTAAGTTTTCAGCCATTAGCTCGGTGTGATCCTCGGTTTCTAGGACACTTGTAATGTGTGTTGTAGATCGAGGATAACGCTGATTGCCCGGGTCTCACCGCGTGGAGGTTGCTGCATCAGAGACCCAAAGGAAGCCAGATGGAAACAACATTTCATCTGGCTTCCTTTTTACATTAAGCTACGCGGTTATCTTACGGCTAACACAGACTGGAACTTATGCTTAAACGGCTTAAAGAAAATAAATCCGTAGGGGTGCGATTAATCTTCAACCTCCGGCGGCGTTGTGCTGAAACAAAAATCAGATTGGGTAAATAAAAATGCCAAACGTCGGAGTAGAAAGAGAAAATAATAGATGGAAGCAGCTGTTGATATTAAACAAGCATCATAATTGTTATAAGAAACATTTTAAAGACATAAGAATTAATGCCGTTAATTTAAACGACTTTTGTTAAGAATAATCGTTATGAATGATTATATTTTTCTTCGCCTTATATATAACGACCATTATTAATAAAAGAATTTGATTGCGTTAACCAGTTTGATTTGATCATTATTATTACCATCGTCGACGACCAGAATTAATTTTGATTTGAAAAATAATTTTTTCCAAAAAATAATCAGGTTATTCCTAATCCCTAGGGAACATTGTTAAACGCCTGCTTGATTACTTCCTTGTGTAAAATTGTAAAGTAATTAGCAAAAGGGATGGTACATATAATGAAGTTTGTAAAGTGTGGTAATTGTAATATAATCTCGCGACGAGGGAACTTTGTTTTGCCAGTGAAAATTTAACGGTAATTAATGCTAATGTTTATGCTGCGATTCGTGTAATGATTGTTTACACGCCCGCGTATATAATATAGTTTTGCTACCTTTTTAATCCGGGACTTGTTCCGCTGTGATGTAATTACGTTATTTCGATTCATCTCGTGAAACATAGTTATTTAATGATACAGAAATTCGGGGGATAATTTTACTTGATGGAAATTCGGATTCGGTTGTTCAATATTAATTTGCAACGCAAACGTCGTGCACAAGCTCGCGATAAATATAGGAGTTATCGTTTCCAGGATTAAATTCGCAGTGTTCGAGCCACGAACGTTTTGAACGTGCATTCGGTGGCCGAAGTAATTAGGTTCATCTTAGCAGGTTCTCGTTAGTTTCTCCACTTAATTCGATTTAAATAGAATATTTAAAAAATCCAACCTCGCAGTACATTCTTCCAATTGTTCCCTTATTCTGCAACGTTTCAGTTTTAACCTAACAAAACCATCATCGCAGAACGACATTGCAGATCTCGACGCGAGTTTATTCAATTTCTTATCAGCCGGAACGCTAAAAAATCGATGCGAAACAATCTTGAATAAATCCCAGCGACGAATTATACGAATATAAATTTTCTCATAAACAAACATCGCGCCCCGTGGATAATGTAGTTCGCGATCCACGCGTTCCACGGTGTACCGAAAATATTTTGCAAACATAAAGAGCTCAACGAAAACACGGTGAAAGTTCCTCGGCAACGTTAATGCGAATTACTCTCCGGCGAACAATGCATTTTCCAAACTGGTATAACATTTGCAATGGGTCGGATGTCGGTTAAAAGCGCGGGATCACGTTTAGGGGATCGAGTAAACAAAATGGCACGCGGCTCCTTCGCCATTTTTATAACGTAAATACCGTGCTACCTTTCCGCGTGTTTCTTTTTTCGTTTATTGTTCCCCGACGGAGGAAAACGAAAATATGCGGAATACGTTTCCGTGAGGTTCTCCAACGCCTCTTACGTGGCCGTTGCTTCGACGTTTTCGCCGTAAATGATGGGGACCGAGTAAAAATCGCGAGGAGAGACGCGCTGGAACGTCGCGTCGCGTATATTAACACTTTTCCAACAGCGTGCGCGCCAATAGACCCTCGAATGTCTCTTCTGTCTTCGAGAAGAAGACTCTACAAATTGCCCTTCAAATAATATTCTCCGAAGACCGTGTTCTTTGTTCGTGATTTCTTCTTTTCAGGACAACGTTCTCGCCAAATCGTTGCAGCTAGACGCGACACAATGTTCCGGGAAAATTTAATTAACGCGTTAGATACTTTTCTATTCTAACGATAACAAAATATTGATGAAAATCGAGAAGAATTTATCCCTCGTTTGTTATTCAGTTTATTTATTCATTTCTATACTCCAACGCGACGAACCCTTTGCATTGCAAAGCTAAGGTAGAAATTATTTAACTGGATCAACTACTGCATTATTTGCAACTTAATAAAATAATTGAAGAATGAGAAATTCAGCTTCTGCAAGAATTAGATTAGAATTAGATTCATAGGTATAATGATCTTAGATAAGTAATTAATAGAAACAAACACGAATAATGCAGAGCTCTTATACTCTTTTATTCTGTAAGTTTCTCATTTT